TATATATATATATATATTATTGATACGAAGTATTATAACTTTGCCAATAAGTAATCTCTATTGAAGAACTTGACTAGTCACCTTTAGTGGTATCTCCCCTTCCAACCACGTTTTTTCTATTCATAAGACTCAAACTCAAGATTTTATCACTAGATCAATGACTTTTTGGATAGGATTTTTTTTCTTTAGAAAAATATTCAAGACTAATACTCTTTGCATTCTGACTATCATTTCAGGTTTTTCCGCTACATGCTTTTGCTATTTATGCTTCACCAAATGGCACTAGGTCTCTTCCGGTTTATGGCTTCTCTTGCACGCGATATGGTCATTGCTAATACATTTGGAACAGCTGCATTGATGATTGTCTTCTTGCTGGGAGGATTTATTATTCCAAAAGGTAGGCGGCACCAAGAACTATTGAATGAAGTGCAGATATAGTGCAGTTTTTTTTTGTTGCTAATGATTTGATTATTACTTGTTACTCTTTCAGGTATGATTAAGCCCTGGTGGATTTGGGGTTACTGGTTGTCACCTCTTACCTATGGACAAAGAGCAATTTCAGTCAATGAATTTACTGCCACAAGATGGATGCAGGTATTTCATAGATGCTAATCAAATTTATTCTTGCTTTTCTATCCTTATGGCTAGTGGTTTATAGAAGATTTATGTAATAATGAAAACTTTGTGTTTTAGCATTCTACTTTCGGGGACGACACAGTTGGTCACAATGTTCTCAATGAATACAACATACCAACTAATGATTACTGGTATTGGATTGGTTTTGGAGTTTTAACACTCTACACTATTCTTTTCAACGTGTTGATTACTTGGGGCTTGAGCTCTCTGAACCGTAAGTTTAGAACAATTTTTCTGATCTTTTTATTCTCATTTTAATCAAATTTGTTATGTAATGGTTGATCTGATGATATCCAAGGACCGTCATTTTCTGCGGTCAAAAGATACCAATTTTATGCTCTTTTTGCTTTTGTATGTCACAGCACTCCAAAAGGCACGAGCTGTTATTCTTGGTGATGATGAGGACTCGAAAGAGAGTTCTGACAAAAATGGTAATAGTGATGATGACAGCAAAGCCAAGGGAATGATTCTTCCTTTTGAACCTATGACAATGACATTCCACGCTGTCAATTATTACGTTGACATGCCAAAGGTGGGGACATTTGTAGTTTCAGTTTCTGATGAATGCATTTTTTTCAAAGACAAACACAAGTAGTAGGAGTTGCTTCACCACTAACTGTTTCTCAATGAACTTGCTTGTTTTCCAGGAGATAGCAAAACAAGGAATATCAGAAACTAGATTGAAGCTCTTGTCAAATGTGAGTGGTGTTTTTGCACCTGGTGTCCTTACAGCTTTGATGGGATCAAGTGGTGCTGGAAAAACCACTTTGATGGATGTTCTTGCTGGAAGGAAAACAGGAGGGTATATTGAGGGTGATATCAAAATATCTGGCTATCCAAAAGTGCAACAAACATTTGCTAGAATAGCAGGATATGTTGAACAAAATGACATACATTCTCCTCAGCTCACGGTTGAGGAGTCCCTGTGGTTTTCTGCATCATTAAGGCTTCCAAAGGAAGTGAGCATAGAGAAAAAACAAGTAAGTTCCTTGCTGAACAAGTAACAATAACGAATAGTTTTAGTGTGCTTAGTTATGATCAATTTCTTTAACATAATGATGTGTTCTCAGGAATTTGTTGAACAAGTAATGAAACTAGTGGAGCTTGATAGTTTAAGACATGCTTTGGTTGGAATGCCTGGTACTTCTGGCTTATCAACTGAGCAGAGAAAGAGACTGACAATTGCTGTGGAACTTGTAGCAAACCCTTCCATTATTTTCATGGATGAACCTACATCTGGCCTTGATGCACGTGCAGCAGCCATTGTTATGAGAACAGTTCGCAATACAGTTGATACTGGTAGAACAGTGGTTTGCACCATCCATCAACCAAGTATTGATATATTTGAAGCATTTGATGAGGTTAGTTGTTCAATTACTATTTCCAATTAATTTATTACGGTTATAAGTAATGATTAAGTGTTAAAACTTTGATTTTTCATCCCCAGTTACTTCTTATGAAACGTGGAGGACGAGTCATATATGGAGGGAAGATTGGTAGGCAATCAGATACAATGATAAAATATTTCCAGGTAACATTATCTTTCAGTCATTTCTTTTATTTTTTTACGTTCCATTACTTAGTAGTGTGAGGATCAGTAAGTTAAGGTTTTGCTACTAAAATATTTTACCAGAGCCACCATGCTGGAAGTCTTTAGTCACAAATTAATCTTCCTACTTCTTTCTTTTTTAAGAATATACAAGATCTGTGAACAAATTAAGTTTCTATATTACTTTAGAGTTTAAACTATAGAGTATTATCAACCATGGCCTTACACTTGATGTCGCATCTTTCATTACCTAACCTGTGCTAGCCTAAACTGAATTCTCATCTGAAGGAAAATTCTCCTTTTATATCTTGTTGAGTTGACTAATTATATTTTAAAAGTATTAAATTTCATTCCTATTTGTTTTGCAGAATATTAAAGGAATTTCTCCAATCCCCAGCGGCTACAATCCAGCTACATGGATGCTTGAGGTTACCACACCAGCTATTGAACAGAAACTTGGTGTAGACTTCGCCGAAGTTTACGAAAATTCTGAACAATTCAGGTTCTTATTTATTTTCATGCGTGCTATGGCATGGTTTCCCTTGTATTTGAGGAATGGATAACATCTATGAATAAGATAAATAATAACAATAACAAAAGTTCACCATTTTTGAGAAATTTAAAAATAATCAGAATACAACCTTATGCATATAATTAATGATTCTATCACATCTTTACCTCAGGGGGGTGTTATCAAATATTAAGGAAAGTGGACAACCTCCTCCTGGCTCACAACCATTGAAGTTTGACACACTATATTCACAAAACACATGCGCACAATTTGGCAAGTGCTTATGGAAGCAAAATCTAGTGTACTGGAGAAGTCCACCCTACAATGCAATGAGGTTATTCTTTACAATAATATGTGCCTTGATATTTGGTACCATATTTTGGGACATCGGTACAAAAAGGTATGCACCCTTTATAATCTCCTTTGTCATATAAAATTATCTTATCAATGAAAACAAAAGCAAAAATAGTTACAATAAGTCAATAACCATGTCACTGAATATTCTGCAGGGAAACAACTCAACAAGTGTATGTAATTATGGGTGCACTTTTCTCTGCATGTCTTTTCCTTGGAGTAAATAATGCATCTTCTGTACAACCTGTTGTTTCAATAGAAAGGACAGTGTTTTATAGAGAGAAAGCAGCTGGAATGTACTCACCAATGGCATATGCAATGGCCCAGGTAGGTGTCATTCTACTAGGAATGATTTTCAAGGTTAAATTTCATTTGCAGATTACATATCATGATTACTTTATCTCATTCCCAGGGGCTGGTGGAGATCCCATACATTGCCGTTCAAACAATAGTATTTGGTCTAATCACATATTACATGGTTAATTTTGAAAGGGATATTGGTAAGATCTCATGTTTCATACTAATATGTTTCCTGCATCATGGACTTGTTATCCACCGAAATTTTTATCATAGAAACATCGACTTTTCAGTTTCAGTTACATTAATCATAGTAGTTGAAGATGTTCAACATGAAATGAAATTTGTATGGTCTGTTGCCTAAAATTAAGAAATTTTCTACCTACAAACTTAAAATTTCTTACATAGTATCCTTATATTCGTCCTCGTAGAAACACTTACACAAGACCATGGATTTTTTCTCTAATGCAGGAAAGTTTTTCCTCTATCTACTCTTCATGTTCCTAACATTCACCTACTTCACCTTTTACGGCATGATGGCTGTTGGAATTACACCTACACAACACTTTGCAGCTGTTATTTCTTCTGCATTTTACTCTCTATGGAATCTTGTATCTGGTTTCCTTATTCCAAAATCTGTGAGTAAACGGACCATAACTTTCTAGCTTTACATGTATCTAACTATTTTGTCCCTCATATCAGTGAGTCTTGCAATGTTTCAGCATATTCCTATATGGTGGATTTGGTTCCATTATATCTGCCCTGTTTCTTGGACCCTACGTGGTATTATCACATCTCAGCTCGGTGATGTGGAACAGATGATTGTGGGACCTGGATTTGAGGGCAGTGTTAAAGAGTACATAGCTGTTACTCTTGGATATGACACTACAATTATTGGGATGTCATCAGTGTTGTTGTCAGCAATTGTGCTTATTTGCTTCAACATCCTCTTCTTTGGTTCCTTTGCTATATCCATCAAAGTCTTGAATTTCCAAAAGAGGTGATTCAAGAATAGAGTTCAAGATCAGAGAAAACGCTACTAAAAACCATAATTTATGGTTTTACATTACTGGACAAACTTCATTGTTGAATAGAGTCATGTTGAACTGAAAAACATGGAACTATGAACTGAAGGGAGCATCACATGCAGTTCAGGTTATGGTGGTCAAATTAGTGTGTTGACATGTTTCCTCATCAGCTATTGTTGAAGATCTATTTTCTGTCATTAATATACCTATTCTTCGTTCTAGCAAACTAGGAACTAGGAAGGGATATCAACATTTAAGGATGTTGAACTTTTGTAAGAAAAGGAAGAATCTATTAGTATATTTTGATTTCGTACATATATATGAAGATAAATAGTAATATTTACCGTTCGTATTTAGCTGAGTTTTTTTTTTAATGTCAGCTTGTTGATAATTACTGCATGCTACATGATAGAACATGAAAAATAGAGGTGTATGACTAAATAAAATATAGAGGTTTATATTAGAAAATCTATAGAGGTTTGTAGTGAAAGATTATAAACGTTTCACAAAAAACTCCACCGGACACAGTAATAGTTAGATATATACATATATACTCACCGATTAGTGGAGTTTTCTGAACAAAAAAGCATGCAGCTATGATAATGGATGAAGACAAATTAACCCCTCCACCTGTAGCCATACATTGGTGACACCAGGGGACAGTAATGTAGAAAATAAGTTTATTCATTATTAAATTGGATGATTCCATCTGTATATAAATAAACTAGTAAAGTATGCACTATGCAGCAATAAAAGGCTAGTCAACCAGCACATGCAAGCCACACCCTGCCACTAATTTTCCTAGGGAAAACTCCATTTTCTGCTGCTCCTGCTCCATAAACTTCTGTCACCAAACATTTCAAAGTTGAAGTCAAACCACAAGAAACCTCTAGGGAATTAGCTTCTCATCTCTCATGCAATCAATCCAATACAATATTGAACTCAATGTATTGTACCTTGCAGCAAAACCAAGTTCATCAACTTTATCCCTACTCCCAAAGAGTTTCAAAGGGAAACGGAACAATGCATCTAAAAACTCCCAATTGGCCAAATTTTCCAAAGTGGTGTGAACCAAACCATTTGCCTCTACAATCTCCTCCCAAACTTGATGCTTCCCAGCCATGGCTTTTGAGAACCAAAAATTCTCCACAAGGATATCCTGTGGCACTTGCACTCCCAATTTCTTCCCAACAATAGGCCAAACCTCCTTCCAAATGAAACATGGTCCATTAATTGAATTAAAGGCTTGGCCATTGTTGGAAACTATGTCACCTTTTGTGGCTGCCCAAATGTGCTGATCAGCCACAAGCCTAGCATCTGATCCATCAATATAAGCCTCCTCCCAACACTTCTTTGTCCCACCAAACACAAAAGGGAGCCTCAAATGTTTACAAATAGCCCCATAAACACACAAACTCCCCATGAAATTATAAAATGATCTAACAGAACTACCCAACAATAAACCAGGCCTATGCACAGACCAAGACACCTTACCACTCAATTTCTCCATGAGCAAATCCTCCAAGGCATAGTAGAAATTAAGGGATCTTCCCATCCTGGGGAAATCTTCATGGTAGCAATAGTGGAGCTTCAGCTTCTCTTCATCAAAGGGTGCCATCAGTGACACATAGTGCTTGGTCCCTGTCTGAAGGGAAACATGCTTTAGACCTTTGGCTATTGAGAGCATGGAATTCAAAGCATTTGACATCATGGCCTTGTTCTGCTCACAACTTTCTTGTGTCTCTAGTGGGAACTGGCTAGCCCACGTGACCCAAAACACATGAGTCACATCATGAAGGTCACACAGCTTCTTTTGAGTCTCCAAAGGGTTCAGCAAGTTGCAAGAGATGAAATGGTAGCAAGGACTTTTAAGGGTTGGTGGTGTTTCAGGGTTTCTAGCTATGCCATAAACCTTCCAAGAAGGTTCCAAAAGCAACCTCCTAGCTAATTCTCTCCCAACAAGTCCTGTGACCCCGAAGATTATAGCAACATTTTTTGTCTCCTCTATGGTTGCCATTGCCATATGGGGGGCTCTAGATGATGCTGACCCTCCCTTGCAAACTGAAACCATTTTATACTAATGAATGTGGTGGCTCATTGTGTGTATTTGGAACATGGGGTTGCAATAATGTGGACTTTCGAACTGTTCTAACACCCATCAACTTGTTTATAAGCTCTTCTTTTGAGGAGTGTTTCTGGGCTGGCACAGTTGTAACTTGTAAGGTAGCGGTTTGAGTTTAAAATTCCAAGTAAGATAGATGCTAATTGTTGTGAAGATAAGAGACATGAGTGTGTTATTTTATAGAGTTCTTTAAAGATGCCTACAAATATGTACTTTTATGACTAGAATTATGTAGTATGGTTGGTAAATAATGATATGCCCAAGTATTTGATTAGGGTTTCGATCCTCAATTTTGTGTATATAAAAAAGGATAATACTTAGTTACACCATCATAGTTATGGTTAGTGTTATTCATTAAACAAAATTTAAGTTTTATCTCAATAACCAATAATTATCTTTAATGAAATCCTTTACTAGCATATTAGCAAAATGTTACTTCAATTTTAACAACATCAACAATATTATTCATATTATACTTGAGTTTTGTCTTATAGAAAAATCAATATTAAAAAGAGTTCGATCTTTTGAATCAAATTTTTTAATTAGTCTTTGACTCTACTCTAAGGGTAGTATTTAAAAAAATGTAAATTATTATTGAATAATTTTGACCAAACCCACTTCGTCATTGGAAATAGTTTGAGGCATTAAGGAGTGTTAAGTTCCAAACTCAACCAGCAAGTTGTGCCTATGGCCGTTGCAATGCTGGCGTTGCGGTTACAAGCAAGTTAAAATAACATAAATATTAACGTGTTATATTATATCAATAATAACTATCTTAGCTACCTAATGCCTAAGGAACTCCTTTAATAAATATATGGTCAAACCATTCATGAAGGTCGGTCTTCCTCTTCTTTATAGTCTAGAAATTATTTTAAAAGATTGTAGCTGTAAGGGAAATCTTCGATGCCGATGAGCAAAGTGGAGAAAAATGAAGTAAACCTAAATTAAATTAGTTTCTTATTATCAATGATTCTAGCTAGATTGATTGAATATAATGTGTGAGTTGTTGTACTCCCTTTAGTATAAGTTTAATTTTGATACATAAAAAAAATAGTTTCTGATTTATGTCAAATTCTCAATTTTAAAACTCTTATAAAAGCTTTTATAATATAAGAATGTTTAACTCTAATGTATTTTTTTTTGTCTCCAGTTATGATTCACACAATGTTCTAAAACTTATATCTAAAGACTAATTTATATTTGTAAAACATGATTTTTGTAAATCAAATATTATTTTAATGTATATATATATATGGAATTATGGAAAAATGAAACATAAGAATTTTTTAAATAAAAAGTTATATACAAAGACTAATTTAAATCTATGTATAAGTTTTGATTTATTTTTCTTTAATTTTTTAATTCATTTTATTCTCTTTCTTTATAAATACTTGTTAAAAAGTTTGTTCCTCGGGGTGAATTTTAAACATAGGTTAGTCCTACATTATGTGGACAACTTTATTGTCTTAAAAGATTACAACAAAATAGGTGTGAATGTATAGGTTTTTATGATTCCAAGAGTAGGATGATTCTTCCTTTCAATTTGGAGGAAACCGTGTACCCTCATTTTGTGGGAATTCTTTTTTCTTTATATAACTGATTTTGTGGGAATTTTAATACGGACAAGCATTAAGCTAAATTAACTGATAAAAAAAATCACTGGAACTAGTCCAGTAGTTAGGTAGAGAGAGGATGGGATAATTAGAAATATGAAGATGTAGGTTTATTATAATTATCTTTTTAATCTTTTCTATCTTAAAAAAAACTAATCCAAAATTATTATGTACAAATAATTGAAACACTCCACCCAATTTTTTCGGACAATTAAAAATTAAGATGAAAGAGTAAAGTGTTATTTTATAAATATTGTTTCAGTTAAAATTTTTATTTTTTTTCGTGTAGCAATGAAGTATTGGGCGTAACATTATAGCGGAACTATTATAATATAGTTAGTGACTATTTAAGTAATTAGTGGTTATAGTTAGATGCACATGCGATCACTTAGTGGGTTAATTATTATTCTTAGTCTATATAAGCCTTTGTTTTAGACTTGTCCTATATGATTTTGTTCATTCTATTAAATTCAGATTTTCAATATCTATTATAATATAGTTGAGTTAGTTGATGATTAGTTTAAATAGTTAGTGATTATAGTTAGAAGCGCATGTGATTAGCTAGTGATTAAATATTTTTCTTTGTGAGAATTTTTTATTTGCAAGACAGCAGTGACGTCTCGTCTCTTTGAAGAGGTCCTTCTTCACTTTAAAAAAAGTAATTCATGTATTTATATATTTATTTAAAAAAAAATAAAACAAAATTAAAACAGAGATAACAGACTAAGGAAGTTCTTTGTCAAGAAGATTAACAACTTGGAGAGAAAAAACTGGAATTGGAAAAAAAAATGATTATGAGAGAAAAATCACAAACTATCATTAAAAATTTATTAAATCTTATATAACTACTTTACAAATCATACTAGTAATATTTTTTTATAAGTCTATAATATAGAATTATTTTATATTAACAATGTATGATGATTGAATAAATTATATATATATATATAGGCCTAGGATTTTACAAAGTAGATTAACTTTGATGATGCCGATTAATAAACAGAATCAAATCGTAAAGAGAAAACATAAAAGAGTGTTTCTCCATAAAGGCAAGATTCTTTATTTACTAGCTATTTTCTACATTGAATGAAAAATGATATGATTATGGAGTAAGCGAGAAACATGGAAAAGGCAAAGAAAAGGAAAAGGGAATTGAAATAACCCAAAATGTCACACTGTATATACCTTATTATAGGGAAAACATTAAAATCTATAGTCTATGGTTTTTGTGACTTAATTTGTGGTGGACCTCCAAGCCTTGGTTTCAAAGACACCGCTTCCACCTAAAAATAAAAGGGGATGAAGCTCTCCATCCATCCCAATTCATGGTCTACCTCAGAATTTGACCCTACTCTATGCATCATCTGAAACACCCATAATTATCAGAGTTAAATCCACCATCATTTGATTTCAAACTCGTAATAAAAACTGGTAATTAGTTTTTGCTTTTGAATATAAACTTACCAATGAAATAAAGTCATTACTTTATTGTTTATCCATTTTTGTAGTGAAAGATTATAAATGTTTCACAAAAAATTCCACTGGACACACTAATAATTAGATATATACATATATACTCACCGATTAGTGGAGTTTTCTGAACAAAAAAACATGCAGATATGATAATGTAACAAAGGAAAAGAACCAGTCCTTTCATGTAGTGTGAAGTTCCATCCTAGATAATAAAATAAAATAAAATCATATTAGATAAAATAAATAAATAAATAAGTGAAAAGATAATGTGATCATATATAATATATATATATGCAGAAGGTGTTATGCATAGTTTACCTGCAAAGTGAATGCTGTCACGATAATTGTCAAAGCAAGACACCCAGTTTCAAGGAGCTTGAAATCCAAGTCCATTTCTATGCCCATTGTCCATGCAACAACCACGCTTAATGGAACCTGACATTTATAATTAGATAAGCAAAATTTGCTCTCATCGCATTATTGTCCAAATTTCAGGCATAATGTAAAATGTAAAAGGAAATATCCTTACTCGTAGTTTTTTTCACTCATATGTTACAATTTTACAAATTTTATCACATAATTTTTAAAATTATATATTTTGTTACCTAATTTTTCAAATTTTATACTTTTTATTACTCTGTTAATTAATTATTAATGTTACGCATTAATTGTCGATATGATACAATTATATCACATCATTATTGTATTTCATATCAACAATTTATAATAACATAATATGTTTCTTTGGTTGGAGTTAGATTCTCTGCTTGTCATTAAGATATTCCATGATTATTTTGATGCTTTCGTATACATTGACTGAATATGCTTGAGTTAATTAAATATGAGGTTTAGATTCCCTTATGTTTATAGGGAGAGTAATAGTTGTGTTGATAGTTTAGCCAGACTTAATTTTAGGCATTTCGATTCTTTTTTGTGATATGTCATCCCTCCTTATATTGTATAGTCTTACTTTAGGGAGAGGTATGGTCTTCATATTTTTGTACTTGTTTTTTCATTTCTTTTTAGTATTATATAATCTTTTCAATATACTGTAGATGATTGTTATGAGATGAGGTACTAGCCTAGTTAAAATCTCTTTCTTATATTGTGATGTTTTAACATTTCTATTTTTTTTTTTTTTGGAAACATAATATGTAGAATCAACAATGAATTTGATACACAAGTTAGACAACTAACTAAATAAAATTTTGAAAATTGATAATAAAATGTGCAATTTCAAGAATTAAAATAGCAAAATTCACAAATCTTATAACATAAGTGATAAAAAAAAATACAATTAAGCCAATAAAACAATACTTTAGCAGTTCAACCTTACCACAAACATAGAAATTTGAGTTGCAGATCCCATAGCAACACCCAATGATATGTCCTGCATGATAATTTCAACCATACTGATATAGATTTAAAATTAATATTGACAAACTTAAAAAGCCTTTCAAAAAATTGAAACTTATGCTTTACAAAATAATTGATATATAAACCTTACCAACTTGTTCTTAAAAGCAAATATGATTGAGCCAGCATGTTCTGCAGCATTCCCCACAATTGGTAACAAAATTATGCTGATGAAACTAATAGAAATGCCCCAAGAATCTGAAGCAGCCTAGTTAAGCATAAAAGGGTTGACAACCATTAATCTAATCTCCACTTAATTAAAGCTATTGAAATTTATGAATTTATGCACTTTAAGAATAATATAATTATCAATATGTACCTCAATGGTTGCAACAATATATTCAGAAAGCAGAGATATGATAAGTGTCATACCAACCAACCAAGTAAATGCACTCCAAAATCCTATCACAGCCTTCTCTCCATCTTCACTTTCATCTTCCTGTGACCAAATCCCATGGATAATTATCATTGTATTGAAAACTTACTACTAAGTCAAGTTATATGAGCATTTTTTTCTCTTTTTTTTTTATTGTCTTTGACACTAATGATATTTGATATCAAATAATCTATTTTAGATTTTAATTATTTTTTAATATTTACTGGTTTCACTAATAATTAATCTTTGTTAGAAGGTTTGACTAATCACTTTTAGTGAAATTTTTCTTTAACCTTTTTTTTTTCATTCACAAGATTCGAATATAATACTTTGTTTAAAAAATCAAATTTAGTATTACTCAAATCAACAACTTATTGGTGGATTCCAACTCATTTATTTAATTTAAGAAAAAAAGCAAGTTCCTAATTACTTGATACAAAATGAGTTATATGATAATTTTTAACATTCCTTTCATTGTTACTAATTTTACTTGTTAAATTAATTATTCTTTCTCATAATATCATCCTAAATTATTATTAACAAATAGATGAAAGAAAATAATAATCTTATAAAATTGACTTTATAATCAATTTTTTATTAAAAATAGTGCAACATAAAAATCACTTTTTATATAATATTATTAAAAGTATAAAGAAAAAAGAGGTAATTAATATTACATCAAAAAGTTGATATGATTTTTATTTTAATATTTTTTTTATATGATTTTTATTTTAAGATTTTTTTTTCTTCTAATGCGTACTTGTTAAGTACAAAATGGAGGGAGTATTTATGATTAGGATAAAATTCTAAGACAAAAAAAAAATGTGTAAACAATTAAACTTGGTTATGTGAAGGCTCCAACGGTTTGTTTTCTGTTTTTCCTAAAAATAATTTAAACACTTGTTTGTAACCCTTTAAAATAGTGTATATCACTATATTAGAGAATCCTATATTTAATATCTAAGTTTGTTATTTGCCTCAAGGTCAATGTGTTCATGAAATTTAAATTGTCTCTCTGCTCCGCCGAAAACTATCACCTAATCTTCGTCCGAATACTTTTTCTTCATTCATTTATTGATTATTAAAAAAATCCACATGATAAGCATGTGCAATATAAAATTGTCATTTGGTATATTTATGTTTTTTCTCACATGTCAGTTTTATGAAGAATTGAAATTAATAAAAGAACATATGGGGTGATTACGAAAAAGACTAGAAAAGTAAAATAATATGTTTTTTTTCTCTTAGGAAATCTATGTATATATCATGAGGTGACTCATAAAATCAACCCATATCACGAGTCACGAGATAAAAAAAGGTCTATTAAACCTATTACTAATGCATCAATGCACATTTATTTTTCGGGAAAAAAATTATTGCCTAACAGTTACAGCACTAGCATTAGCAAAAGTGCTCGTCTAAACCTTTCTTTTTCTTGTTTTCGTTCATTATAAGAAAAAGAGACCCAAGTTATATACATTTGTTCATAAACTTTGTTCTAAAAACTATACCATGAAGACAGAGATGAGAAGAGAAAGAGAAAAAGAAGAGATGAGAAGAGGTAACCAAATAGACTGAATTAAGGGTATCACCTCTTGTGCATCAAAAATTTGTCGATGCGTTTTCAACTGGAAGAAGATGTATGCAGCATATGCAATAAGCATAACAATGCTGCTTGCTCTTGACAATTGAAGAGTAGAAGTGGCAATAGAAGCATATTCCCCTGCTAAGGCATATCTGAACATTAGTGGCAGCAAATGGCACAGCAACCCCAGCAACAAAAGCAGTGAGTTTACATCTGCCTGTTTCTGTTCATCATTCAATCACCAAATAACAAAACAAATTCAGGGTCAGCAACAATAAACAGTGACAAAATTTCCATGATATGGAATCAAGAAGTGAATAAGCCTTATGTAGTGTACCCTATCATATAATTGTTCCTTCCTAAGGTTGGCTAAGCCTCCACATAGAAGTGAACTTCCAAGAACTAGTAGAAGGTTTGAGAGAATAGAACCCAGCAGGGAGAACTTCACAACATTTACTTTGTTTTGGTAAAGTGCTAACAAAGAAATGATCATCTCGGTTGCATTACCACACGTTGCATTCAGAAGCCCTCCAACTGAAAATATTCAGTCACACAATGTTACTAAGAAAAGCTTAATTAGTGTTGCATTCTGTTTTTCAATTACCATGATTCTTTACTTAATTACCTAATTCACTTTGTTTAATTTTCTATCCATTAGCATTCTATTGTATCTGAATCAAGATGAGATTAAAATGATTTGATTTTTACCTGTGGGGCCAGTGTAATACGCAATTTGCCTTCAATTTTGAGTGAAAAATCAAATAGATTCAAAGGAATTAGAAACATGAACTATAATATAATGTTGAGATAGGAAGTGACGTGCAAACTTACTCAGTAAGGAAGCTGACACGTTCAGCTAGCGGGGTGAGTCCAAGTAAGCTCAAAGCAAAAATCCAAGGCTACATATGGCAAACAAAGTAATTAATTAAATATAAATGTAACTAATTACCGCAGTGCTTACATAAACATGTTCTATGACTTCTGTCTAATGTGTAGTTTAGATAGCTTGTGCAACCACTATTTCCTGATACAAAAGATTATTATATGGTCTGGGACCATCATGTCACTTGATCACTATGTAATACGTAATTGAGTTGTATTAACTCTTTTGAGTATATTAAATTAAAAACCCATTTGTGTCATATAAATATTGACTAGAATCATAAAAATGCGATGTTCGGAGGTACTCTTCTTCAAATATAACATATTCATATAATATTTAAAAGTGCTATCTAAAGTGAGAAAAGAAAAACACTTCTATAAATGATCTCAAAGAACTCTTAATTTTCATATAAACATGTTGTGATATCATGCCAAATTTGAGTTTAAACTTGACTTAACCTTGAAAAATTAATTGTAAAGTGTGAATAACCCCACTTAAATACATTATTTAGATTTTATCATCAGTTGAAGTAAAACTTAGACTTTTTTTTAATATTTCTCTTCAAGTCCAACACTTTTGAGTTGGTCCTAAATTAATATGGTAGTTGACTCGTTAATGAATATAGAATAGCCTATGATACCGTTTTTCATAAATAAATTAATAGCATTCCTATAAAAAAAAGTGATTCCATCAGTACTTATACATCTCTAATGAGAATACAGCTATCACAAATAACTGTCTTAACAAACTCAAAACTTTGATATCAGCAAACTATTAAAAGCTATTTTACATCCCAACATTAATATTAGGTCTTATTATTAATTATAACTATCTCGTGTCATAACATTCTCGTATCAATTAACAATCCTCATCCCGAATCAGATACTAGCATTCCTATGTAAGCTAATTAACACATTGACATGGTATTTACACAAGAAGTAACATGAAAATAATGAAACAGTTTGTTTCATACTTACCCTTCCGAGGCTATAAAAATCTGCCACAACAGCTAAAGGGACAGCCGGAAAAAGCACTGCAAGCTTAGTACCAAAAATGACCTTTTGCAAATTTGCTCTGAAATTCCTAAGCAATTGGAAACGACCTTTTGTCACCAGAAATGGCCACTTTTTTGTCACCATTGAAGATGTAAGGTTCTGTGCCTGTGGTGGTGGTGCTATGTTCAAGTCCTCCTCCATGGTATGGTGTGCCATATGAGAGAAACGAAATTAAGACTTGTTAATATGACTAGTGAAGATGTGAATGAGGTAAAATATGTATAGTATCTAAGGAACTAGAAGGCTATTATATAGTTGGGTTGTTAATTAGTTTGGTTATAGTAAGAAGTTTATGGTATACTATTGCCTCTATTATACGTACAATGATAGATTCGTACATTCATTTGTGAGACGAGATTAATGATCAGAAACTGCCATTGTATATACGTACCGGGTATAGTTCTTATGAAGAATTGAAGCTTTGAAGTTTCGAGGAATTTTCACATGTTCTTGTTAGCATGAGTAGTTTACACTGCGATCGCATAAGCGATGATGGGTCTGTTATTATTGGATGTTAGTAGTGAGGTGATATTGGGGGGTGTTTAACTTTTGTTGTTTGCACATATGTAACATATAAAAGTCACTACAAATTAATATGAGCTTAAAAATTTGGTAAATTAAATTTGGACTTTTCATTTACAAAGCAGTGTGATATGATCATGAAAAATGCTTCATAATAATTACCACAAATCCCGTATGAATTCATGCTTTTTATTGTACAGATATTAATTAAAAAAAGTAAAAATCAAGAAACTTGACGGAAATTAACAAGAAATTACTTTATATTTGGATTTTGTACAACAAACTTATAATAATAACTATTTTTCTATTATTGTTTTTATCCTTCAAGTATTACAGTTGTACAATTTTGATCCTTTAAATTTTAATTGAGTAATTTTATATTCAAATTAATATTTTATATAATATTTTGAGTTTGAATTAATGATATCAAAAATATGGTTGAAAAAATCACTAGTAGTAGAAGATTAAAATAATATACACAAAATCTTAAATTTAAATTTTATTATTATTATCATAATTGAGATATAAAATTATATTAAAAATAATCAATTAAATTTTTAATCATAAACTTATCAAAATTAAATATTTTACATCAACGATATATAGAGAGAGAGAAAAAATTTAAGTATGAGCATTTTAACTATTGAAGGATTAAAGGGGTTACAGGTAAAAAAAATACATTAAAACCAAATCACACTAATTTTGCAATTATGAAAAACATTTTATAAAATAAAAGAAAAATTATAAATAAAAAATAATTCCACAATGACGTAGGCTCCAAATTAAGCATGAAAACCCGTATAGCGTTGGCTGATACATAACAAGTAAATTTTGGGAGTTTTAACGTAGAAAACGTATGTCGGCACTTCGTTATTTGATACTTTGCTTCTTCTTAAAGATATTCAGTAAGGCAAGAAGTTTCCTACCGTAGTACTGTATACAATGCACCATGCATCTGGGGAAAATACAATGGATTAAATGTATTTAAGTGGCACAATCTCTAGGTTGTTTAAATTTAGATTTAACATAGTATGATTAAAATTTGATCACAATGAATTTCATATGAAAACTAGCATTTTTCTTTATTTGTTTATTTTTATCTCGTTGGTAAGTGTATTAAATTATACAAATAATTTAACGATAAGTATAAATATCATTTATATAATATATAATATTATAAATCAATGTAGATCCCTGTTACGTTCCCATCAAAACCTTCAGGTTAGGTTTATTAGGAGACAAGCCAATCGGGTCGCCCACACTTTAGCAAGGGTGGCTAGATCTTCTGCTAGTCACCACTTTTTCGATTTTATTCCTCCATGTATTGCATCTCTTATCATTAATGAAATGAGTTAAGTTCATTTGCTTCAAAAAAAAAAACAAGGGATTCATGCAATATTTGGCAAAACTCACTTATTATATTAAACTAAATTATTAAAAATGAAAATATTGATCGATTGGGAAATTAAAGTGTTCAAACAAAGATAAATGTTATAATAAGTTTTTTTAGTATTTTTACAAACACTTAAAATATAAAAATTGGTTTTAACACAATAAATAAGTTTTATGACTTTAATTTCACCAAATCATCTTCTCATGTTTATAAATAAGCTTTAATCTAGCTACAACTAAAAAATAAATTGTCATTCAACTCACAAAGATACTCAAACCTTAATCATTTACAATTTAGACTCTAAACTTCTTGATTAAGTTATCAATTTCTCGCAAAATTTAACCAAGAACTTAGCTTTAAGAACAAGAGTTCTCTCTTGATGATTTATCAAGTTTTTCACTTGTTTTCTTTCAATGTTTTCCATCCTTTTCCTTTTATCTACAAAATAACATTTAAAAAAATTGTAAATTACTTAAAAAAACATGAGTTATAAACCAAAGTTAACTTACAAATTAAGATAAATTTTGGTCAAATCAATGGCTCAAATCAAAGAAAAATAAAGATAAGTGTTTCAAATTATACCAAAAGATTAAAGCAAACATGACACTTATCATTTACTATAAAAGAGCATTCCCATCAAACATGAGACTACTTAATTAACCGGCATAAGTCACTTGTCTTGTCATTGCATCAACCAAATTAGTATATGAAAACTAGGCTTTTTCCTTTTTTATGCAACTCATTTAGCATATAAATAATTTTAAATCATTATATATCGATCATTCTTATTAATCATTTGACGTAAAAAGTATTGCAACAAAAAAATTTTTATATAATGATATACACTAATAGCGATACAATAAATGTTACTAAAAATTATTTTTACATATACTTTAGATACAATATATGTTAGTACATTATTAAAAATATAAGTATAAATTATAATGACATACATGTATTATTAAATCTCATTTAAAATCAATACTAAAATTATATTTAGTTATATGTCAAATAGATTTATTGTAGTGTATCTTATAGTTTTTTTTTAAAATATTAAATATATTTATTCTTTTAATGCATTTTTATTGATCTAATATGTATATTTTTTTTTTATTTTAGTTTTTATATTAAAAAAATCAAAAGAATCCTTATAACATATATTTTTGGTTTTGGTCTTTGACGTTAATGAGTACTCCACGTTACTTCTTAGGTCGCACGCATTGTGGTCTTCCGTGAGCTACATCAACACCTAATGAACAAATTAACGTCGACACATTTTCAATTACCTCTTGGGGTCTTCATGGGGTTTTTTCAAAAAACCGATCCAAATCGAACCGAACCATTTTATAAAAGTGGATCGGTTAACCGATCCATTTTTTATAAAGTGGACCGGTTTGGTTTTCTTAAAATATGGATCGGTTTTTTTGAAATTGGATCGGTTCGGTGCGGTGCAGTTATCCACTTTTTTACTCATATATGGATCGGTTTTTTTAGAAAACCAAACTAAACCGAACCGATCCACTTTGTAAAAATGGATTGGATAACTGAACCGGTTTATAAAGTGGTTCGGTTCGGATTTTTTTTCAAAATGGATCGGATTTTTTAATATGGATCGGATCAGTTATGGATCGGTTCGGATCAATTTAGATTTTTTGCATTTACCTCTATTGTCTCAAACAATAAGATTTTGAGACAAGTGTTTTTGAAGTTAAAATAAAGACGGAAATCCCACTTCTACAATTACCTTAATGATTATTTTAAGATTTGATTATTTTTTATTCCTATAATTTTATAAAATTTATCTTTTAATTTTTATAATTAAAAATATTTGATTTTAGTTATGTCGTTTTTGTTTCCTTTTATTTTCTGTTATATATTTTATAGAATCAAAAATAATTTAAAATTTATGAAATTATAAGAACTAAAAGAGAAGAGATATATAAAGACTAAAATTGAATATTTTAATTATAGAAATTAAAAAATAAAATTGATAAAATTATATATATATATATAAGAAAAGAAAAATTAAACTTTATTTTAATATGGAATTGCATGGGAGTAGCTTGTAAAAGCTTCATTCCCCTTATATGTGAATTGGGAATAGAGTTCTAGTTTTCTTTGTCTCCTTAAAACCCATGTAAATGGGATGAAGGCCAAAAGGATCACGGGAAAGCTAGGCTTTCATGGATTTTTTGTTCGTCATGTTAGGGGCCAACCAAGTGGCATTTGGTGTTTGAGAGATGACTTGGTTTTGGGTGAAGATGTCATGATGAATACCAAACCAATGTAGGCACGTCATAGTAAAATTTTGCAACTCTTTTTTTATTGTGTATGGCAGATTGTAATTTGTTGAAAAAGTTCATTTGGAGAATTTTATTTGGACATCCTTTAAGGTCGATGAACCATGGTGTGTTATGGAGGATTTCAATTTGACCATGAGAGGAAATAAGGTAGGGGCCTTGCACCTTTAACCATATGCATCATGACAAGAATGCCTTGCCAACATTTGATTTAAGCTAAATACACAATTAGAACAATATTTTCTACTTCTCTGAAAAATGTGTTAAGTTCATTCAAATTAACTCAAGGATAAGATTACTAAAATTCAAACTTTAAGTCCATATCACAGATTATTTGTTATTAATTTTTGTAAAGCGAAAACATCACATATATTGGCAAAAAGTCCCAAGATATTATTATCTCACTTAAAGTAAATAAGCCACACTCAAAATTTGTTTTAGGTCTCATTAATTGGTGTTTCAATTTCATCTACATATATATTACTTGAGTATAATATTCTCTATCTTTTAACTATTATAAACAACATAATATATAGTGAATTTTCACGTAGTTCAGCTTTCAAAACAAAAAAAAATAAAACACACAATTTCAAATTCAAAATTTGAATTTCCAAATTTGAAAATTGGAAATCTTACCTGTGTATAAGCACACATGTTGTTCATGTAAGGGGAGGTATTTTTCCTATGTTTTTTTCTTCAATAGAAAATTAGCAACTTTACAAAAGCCTTTAACCCAGGTTTTCACCAAAATTTTCATTTTCGTGAGCAATTTTCCCTAATTAGAGGCCCATGCTCCCTCTCTTCCTAACCTCACTATTCTAACTTTCTCTTTCTCACGAAACCTTGCGCTTTTGGTAGTTGACGAATTCCATTGTAAATAAGGGCTTATTCTTTGTCTTTTCCAGCATACATATTGTAAAGGAAAACCATTGTAGATTGATCTCCCGACGTCAATGTAAAATTTACTCATTTTAGATAACCCTTTTTGTCTCCTAACATGCACTACTTTCCTTGCCCTATTAATTTGTGAATACTTCTAAAATAGTTAACTTTGAGAAGGTTGTTTATTACATTGTTCCTTGGGAAGTGGACAGTGCTAAAACTTTCATTTGTACTCTCTCAATTTGTTTATAGTATAGACGAGGCTTTCATAGCCTTCCCAAGAGGTTTCTAACGTGTTTTGGTATTTGTTTTAAACACACAAATATATGGTGATTTATATTATTATTATTAATAATAATAATAATAATAATAATAATAATAATATAAAATATTTACATTGATAGTTCATAAAAATAAATTCGTTTTTTAATTAATATGTTCATAAAGAGTATATTAAGTGATAAGATAAGAGATAAGTAAATTTTCACCATTTAAATCAAATAAATGATTGAAATTACTTAATATTAATTAGTGTTTTAAAATTTGGCTTGGATTAAATGATTTATTATAAAGAGAGATGCTAACAAATAACAATACATTTTTTCAAAGAAGTTAAATTTTATTGAAAAATACAAAAATTTAGTGAATCTCACACCTTATTTAATGACTCTCTCTCATGATTTGTAGTTTTTAATAATTTTTAATCAATGAAAGTATGTGTGTATTAAAGAGTATGTTATTAACCCTTTATCACATATTGATATTGTTAATGATTCAATTTAGCTATTAGATCAAACTTGTATGTGACTCAATGATGACATATCATTGAATCAATATGAAATTGGATTTAATAAAAGTAATTCCCTTTAGACTAATTGAAAACTCATTGTTTGAAGAAGACGATATTTTTCATGTGTAAGTTTCAATTTTTAAATTTTTCACATTTCGTCATATTATATGTTATAAATGAAAAATATATTATACATATATACATGTTAATCGTGTTTTTATTTATATCAATTTATGCATGGAAAATGAGAAAAAATAAGTTTTATTTTTAAAGAAATAAATAATAAATTACTATGATGTACTTCAAACAAATTTATTAAAACACAATAATTGATTATCTTTTTTGTTAAAAATTTTTGGTGATGATTGTTAATGTACTCTAACTAAAATTAAGGTGAGAGTATGTAACAATTTACTACACATATTTATGGGAGGGATTCACTTACTTTGTAAATAAATTTGTTTAGACTTAGACTTACTCAATTCAATAATTTAAATTTTACATTAAGTTAACTATCTAACCATATAACTAAAGATTTTTAATGCATATATCAAATTTGTAAATTTTAAAAAAATTATTTAATATTCTTTCATTAATTCAAATTTATATATATAATATTTTTATGATTTTTCGTTAATTTGAAATTAATAAAATAGTGTATTAAATAGTTTTATTTTTTTTTTTAAATTATAAACTTAATATATGTATTAAAAAAATTTAATTTAATAATTAAATTAATATAAATTCGAATTATTGAATAAAGTAAATTTAAATAAATTTAGTTAAAATAGTAATTGAAATTTTCGTATATAACACGCTCGAATAGGGTGAATTATTTAAATAGAATATTTTAAGTAATATGGAGGTGATATTCGTTTAGGAGTGTATATTTAATATTTAATATTTATATTTATATTTTCATATACATCACTCCTTAATCAAAAGAAAATTAAGCTTACCGTCAACTTTCGTTAAACAAACTTTGTTATAGTAAAGTTATTGTTGGATGAGATGAATGATTCAGTGAATTCTTTAAGGAAAAAAAAAAAAAAAAACTTGTTAACCTACTTTTTTCAACATGTGTTGCATCACAAATCATTACCATTCGTTTTTTAGTTCATTAATCTAACGGTACGCAAAAGTCTCGCACCGTGGGTCATATGACCGTGTTACCCAAGCTAGCCACCGTCGAAGAAACAGAAACACAGAAGAGAAGAAGAAGAAGAAGAAGAAGAAGAAGAAGGTGAGTGCAGAAAACACTATAACCAATAATGGCGGAAAAATTAGCCCCCGAAAAGCGTCACAGCTTCGTCCACAACGGTAACTTTCAATTTCCCTATCCCTATACTTTTATTTTGTTCTGATTTTCATCAAACAAACCCACGTGTGTGTGGTGTTAGGTCAAAAGGTGTTCGAGTGGGATCAAACCCTTGACGAGGTCAATATTTACATAACCCTTCCTCCCAACGTCCATTCCAAGCAATTCTACTGCAAGATTCAGTCTAAGCACCTCGAACTTGGCATCAAAGGCAATCCTCCGTATCTCAACGTAACCCTAATTTTCCTCCACTTCATTTCCTTTCTCATTTTATCGTTTTTTTTTTTTAATCTTCTCGTGTATTTTTTCCCCTTATTTATTTCTGCGTGATTTTTCAGCATGATCTTACTAGCCCGGTGAAGACAGATTCTTCCTTTTGGACCCTAGGTAAAGGTTTTAAATGGTATTATTTGGCTTTGTAATCAATTGAGCTAGGTTTTTGTTTTCACTATTTAAGATGAAATAAATATGATATATTTGGTGTTGATTCAGTTGAGCTTGTTGGTTGATGCTAATTTTGGAATTTGACCTGCAGAGGATGACATAATGCACATAACACTGCAGAAGAGAGATAAAGGTCAGACATGGGCTTCTCCCATATTAGGTGAGGGTCAGTTGGACGCTTATTCTACTGATCTTGAGCAGAAGCGACTCATGCTTCAGAGATTTCAAGAGGAGGTGAGTTTTGCCTTTCATCACAATGCTTTACCGGGTGTTGGGATTTGGAATTCTTTTGCTGTCCCGTGATATGTCTTGCATGTTTTTCTCAGTGTACTTTGCTGATATGATCTGAATTTTGTAGTAACTCATTTTTAGTCTGCAGATTGAAAAATGATAGTGATACTCTTTTGTTTTACTCTTTTACTAATTGAGTTACCTGTGCGATGCACAGAATTTTGGATGGTTCATTTTTACCTTGCATTTTTCTTGTGTTCAAAGAGAGGTTCATTCTTTTATCATCATAATAATAACTCACTCTACTACATTTTCCCAATAGATGTGAGATGGGCATTCAAAATCATGTAAGTCTTTGGTGAAAGCATTAAAAACATTATACATCAGTACCTTCAACTGTGTAACATTGTAATGCCATCTGCAAGTGTATTGTCTTTTCACATTGTGAGGAAGTTTATAATTGATTTATTTGGGTCCCAGATACACATGGATGTGTTCTGATTATTTCTTTTATGTTATGGATTATTGGCATCTGAATCTTCTGCTTGAGTATTTTCTTCTTGCCAGTCCAACTTGTTTTTCTCCCTACCATTTTGAGATAAACAAACTCCTTATTACTATTTTTTTCCTAGTTATGTGGGCCTCAAGTTTTGATTGTGCTAATGTATCAAATGACTGAATTTTTAGTCTTTGTCTTTGTCAAAGTTTACATTTTTTTTCTGTATTGGATGGATAGAATATCACTTTCATATAATACGAAGTACCTAACTACTAATGTTAAGCTGCAATAGCTGTCATGGGTCCTGACTCCTGAGATATTAAGTCTAATTATTTGATATGATTTGTATACTCAAAACTGTTGTTTATTCTAAACACAGTCAAAAAATAAAGAATTTTGCTCTGTGTTTCTTGTCCTGCTAGTTAGTGCATTCGAATGTTTCATCTGATGGGTTTAACCATCTAACATTCTGGCTTATAGGTTGTATTCCTCCATTTCCAAAGTGTGTTCTTTGGTTGATATAGTTTTTTGCCTAAACTGTGTATAACATTGAGAAGAGGATCTGGTAATTAGCAGGCATATTATTCATTACTGCATACTAGTTATTTGTGGGTGGGTATAATGTGACTGAACACGATGTTAAGATTAAAATTCTACTTATTGCAAGTTGATGTACTCTGATTTTAGTGTTTGTTTGATCTCACCACCAATGTCAACATTGCTTGAATAGTTGGCATGACTTTTAGCTATTAATGAACTTGCGTGTTGCTCCTATTAGACCTTCCAAGAATATTCTTGAACTTGGCAGATGATTTCATTATTAGATGCATTCATTAGATTGAGGTGCACAAGGTTGTTAAATTCGAGATGTTACCAGGGATTGGGAGGGGGGTGAAAGACCGTAACTGAGTTTGTAACTTTGATTGTAAAATCCTACATCCCTAGCTAGAATACTGCTTTGGTTAATTATGGTTTAAATTGCAATTGGATGAGGTTAATGTTCAAGAAAGAATAAAAGAGATAATGGTGAAGTTCATAACTGTTTGTAGCGACAAATAAAGATTGGATTATGCTATTGGTAGCCATTAACAACATTATATAATTTAGTTTTTTAGTGGGACAATATGTTGTGGCTTGTGTGGAACCCATGTTTTAATTTTTCAGATGATGATGATATTATTGCCCCCAAACCACTATTTTTCTCACGATTCTGTTGTGCCTCCTGCAGAACCCAGGTTTTGATTTTTCACAAGCTCAATTTACTGGAAACTGTCCAGATCCAAGGACCTTCATGGGTGGAATCCGATCAGATTGATGATCTTAGGTGCCGTAATTTGTGTTTGCCTGCTATAAGATGAGGATCATATGGTAATAATCTGTGGTATTTGTCTCCTCCTTGTTAGATGTCATTTAGTTAAGGCAGTCTTAATGCATTTCTTCTAATGATTGTCTGACTGTATTGACATCGTGTGGTATTTGATAATCTCTTTGGTGCCCCCTTTTGGCATTTAATATGTATATAAAACAAGGAGCATTTTAGCAAGACGTGGACAATAATAACTTGAGGTCTGTTGTGTACTATTTTAAAGTCTTCTATGGATCACCATACCAGATTGAGGAATGGTCGGTAGGGATATAAAATATCATCCTATCGGTTGTGTCGGGTAATAAAAAAGAAAAGTATTGTCTTCACGACGAGTTGTGGTAAGTACCCAGTAGTCCCTCTAAGATTTTTGATAATTATTTAATATGTGGAGGCATTTGAAACAAATTTTTTTTTTTAACTTTTTCAGGAATTTGGAGTTGAAAAAGTTAGTTTTCCATATTTGGTTTACTAATTAAAAAAATGATATTTCTAGGAAACAGTTTCTTGAAGATGGTTTTTATCTATGATTTCTAAGAAATTATTCTCATGGAAGTCTTGAAAATCTAGCATTTTTTTAGTTAAATTATAAGTTTTATTTTTGTAAAATGTCATCTTATCTTTATTTTCATATTTAATACAATAAAAATCATTGATTTTCTAGTAATTTATAATTATAATAAAGGTGATAGTTATTTTTTGTGTGCACATTTTTTTTCGATTTTATCTTTTTAATCACTACTTAAATTACTCTTTAAAATATCTATACCCTTTGATTAACTACTCACTAATATATAATTTTCATTATTTATTTATTTTTTCAAAAGAGACATAAAATGTTTATTTTTTCTACTACTATATATAAATATTTTAAGAAACATTTATGACTAACTAAATATGTTTTAATCATCTTAGCAATTGTGATTTTTTAGATTTATAATTCTTTGAAATTATAATTTTCAGACATTGAAAAAAAAATCATTTTGCTTTACATCTAAGATTGGATCAGAGAAAAAGTAATTTTTTTTAAAGCATGCACCAGTTTCACATATTGGAGCAAGTATACTAAAATTGAAGGAATAATCTAATTGGATTGATATGAATTATGAACACAACTCGAATATGTTTGCATGTTATGCTATATGTATATGTAAGAAATTAAAAAATAAAAAGAAAAAATACCACACGATAAATAAAGAGATTTGAGTTATATATGAAACCAAAAGTTATGTATCTTAATAATATCGCTTAAGTTTGTCTCATGATATAGATTTCTTTATATTATTATTTTATTATAACAAAAAAGACATTTCAAGACTCTACTAAAAGAAAAGACAGTTAATATTGATGGAATAAACAATTACCAAGATTGTAAGAGCCTTTAAGAGTGAAAATTTATGGTGAAATTAAAATGAAAAAGAGTGATTATAAGAATTTATACGGATAAAATAGTTTTAAAACTGTGTTAAAAAAGGAGTATGTATTTTATTATATGTATAGACTTTTACTAAAAAATATATATATATAACCTATATGTTGTGGGAGATTTGTCAAATTAAGTTATAAAACTAAGTAAATTTACAAGGGTAGTGTATTCCCTTGAATGTCTTATAGCTTCCCGCTATTTTCAAGGAATAAATTGTATATTAATTTATATTCTTTACAATGACAAAAAAAAATAAAAAATATATATATATATAGGTTTTTTAATATTTATATTACTAAAATAAATCTACATGTCATACTAGAATAAAATATAAAAACTATATTAATATTCAAATTATATAAATTAATATTATCTTTGATCCTGATTATTTAACATAGGACAAATCATTAAAATTGAAAAATGTAATTAATATGATTAGTTTTAATTAATTTTACCATAATTTCAAGTTTTATTCTAAATGTACTATTTATTTTGTTATATTTAATGTTAGTTATATGAGAATGCATAGAAAATAGAGTCAAAAAAATATGAAAGGTATAAAAAAAAACATTAACCTTAAATTATTTTAAAAATTAATAATTATTACTTATAATTAAGACTAAAAAAATCTAATTTATTACTTATAATTAAAACTAAAGATATTAATATATAACTATGAATAATTTAGTGGACTAGTTAACCAATCAACTTATTATGAGTCAACCATTGTGATCGATTATAGAAAGTTACTTACTTTAGACAAGTCATCACTAATTTCTTAAAAGTAAAAATTGATATTTAGTGTTAATGGCTAATCAAAAGTTTGTTTATAGGTATTGTCGCGTTGTTGATTGAAGTGTTGTCGTTACTTATGGACATGACCAATTGTGAACCTAGGGTGAGACAATAGATAAAGACAAAGAGTGACAAGAGAAAAGAGATTTTGAGTTGCTATGTAAGACACACTTCATCAAGGCTTTGAGAAGAGAGTCTTTCGAGAATGTCAAAGTGGATTGAATTGAAAATTCTATTCGTTTAGATATGGTCAACATTAGATCGTTAAAAATGAGTTGAGTTAGGTCAATTTGGCTAAATAAAAATAGATTGAATACTTTAATTTGTCTTACTTAAAGATAGGTTAATAGGTTGATGGGTTAATTAGCTAAAAAAAATTAAAAAAAATGCATATTTATTTTGAATACTTCTTTTAGTATACTTTTTTCTCAATATCTAAAAGACTTAAATAAAATAGTATACCTAAATAATAAAACAAATTTCAAATTACTATAAATTTGGTTTGGTTTGTTGCACAATAAATATCAAATTTGCAACATAATAAAATAGATATGTAATTATAACAATATTAATAATTCTTCCAATAGATTTGTTATATAAAAAATTTCAAATTACATATAATAAAATAAATCAAATACACAATATTGTATAATCAAACACAAATTATATACATAATAAATCTAATGTGACTTAATTAAATTTAACATTAAAAATAATAAATAAAATTTAGGCAAGTCAGCAAGCCAACCTGCCCACCAAACTAGCGGGATAGGTCATGCAAACTAGAATATCTAACTTGACACACTAATATTTGGTAAAATTTAACCTAGTTTGTCATCTTTAATATTGGAGAAGAAGGAGGTTATCAACACAGATAAATATAAATGAATCCACGTTGATAAATAAGTTAGTGAAGATGAAGTGTATAAAAATAAAATAAATTTAATTAGTGACAATAAAAGTTGTCAATCACTAATATTAATGACCATTTAATAAAATTAATGAATGTTACGGTGACGATTATTTGATAGTTATAAATTCATATATTTTTGTTTCTTTTTTACTATTTGTCATACATATAATGAATTTAATATAATATTATATACTGAGAAATACTAACTATCTGATTAATAATATTCACTCAAACACTATTTATTTTTTATTCTTTGCTACTATTAATTGAAAATTATAAATTTTGACAAGCACTACTATTGAATAAGAAGAAATTCATTAAATGAGTTGTTAAATTCTAAAAAATTTGTAATTTTTAATAGAATTTAACAAAAAAAAATAGAATAAATAAGTGAACGTTAGTGTTGCTAGCACTCCTCCTATACACTATCATTCTATAAATTTTTTTCCACACCACAATCCTTTTTTATTTTTATAACTTTTTCATTCGACATTTTTAATGTAAATATTTTCTCTAAATTTTTGCACATCCCTGCCATAATTATTTTCTTATACAAACCATAAATCCAAAGAGAGAAAATAATACTTTTATTAAAATTTATAATATTATGTTTTTTACATGAATATTTTAATAAATAATAATAATTTATTTTACTAAATATTTATGAATTTATATTTTCTCATGAATAATATTTACATTGAAAAATCAACTTATAAAAAAAATTGATGGTATATTAAATAAAAAAATATTTTTTTATAATTTTAATGAAAAAAAGTTATTATTATCTTTTATATTTCAAAACTGTACATAATTTGACTTTGTGAATCACAAGAGTTATCATGTTTTTGGGTATTTTTCATATATAAATTAAAAAATCACAATCATTAAGCACAATATTTCTGATATAAAAATCTCAAAAAAAACACTTGTTCGCGCTTCATCTAATAATTGACTCAAGAGAATTGAGAAATCTCAAACCTAAATTTGACTTGTGAAAATAATTAACCACAACCAACAAGCATTGTTAAATTCACGTTTAATTTAAACTAATTGACTTATCAAAACTACTAATACATTATTATCTTTTGTAATAATTAATTGACTTAAATATGTTTTTAATTTTTTAAATTTAGGGTAAATCTGTTTTTGTTCCTCAAATTTAAAATTGTTGTTTTTAGTCCCTATAATTTAAAAAAATCTTATTTCGGTCCTTATATTCAAATTTTGTTAAAAAATTTATCAAATATTATTGCATAAAATCTAACTATTGACACCCAACCCAAGGGACACCCAACCCTCGGGTCGGCCTCGACAGGTCAGACCCGGAAAAACTCTTTTTTGAAATTTTTGTAGGATTGAGAGTAAAGCTGGAACAACCCCCCGGCCTTACTCCCACTGAGGGACACCCAACCCAAGGGAGGCTCGCCCAACTTGAGTTGGTAAAAATGTAAAAAAATAGGCAAGGACACACCCATCCCGAGGGTCGAGCACAAAACCTGGAAAGCCCTTAAGAAACCCCAACTGTTGGGGTGCAATTGGCAGGGAGCCACGTTGACAAACTTGAGAAAAGCACATTCAAACTCGGTGAACGATAAACACACACCAAGATCCCTAAAGAAGCACTGATACATGTAGAAGAAGGGGGTACTCGGAGTACTCGCCATGTACACGCGCTCACTAGGTTAGCAGGGCTCAACCCAGATAAGCTTAGAAATGGCCAGCTTGCAGATCCTCAACGATTTCCACATCGCATTCACATCAAGAAATGACCTAAACCCACTCTCAAATTCCCCAATGTCCCCCCTAACCCACTCATACCCGGGGACGAAGATGGCGGGGTGCGAGTCTTTGGGGTTATTACCCCCTTTTTTTACGGGACTGCTTTCTCCTTTCCTTTCCCCTTGGCCCGCCCAGCAATAGCCTTGGGAGGAACAGAGCTCTGACCAATCCCACCAGCCATCACTTACAGCACTACTAACGGAAAGGGAAGAGGAAAATGGAGAAGAAGAAGTACTTGGTACTCCTTGAACAAAGACAGGACAACAACGAAGAACGGGGAAGGTGTTACCGAGAACGGCGACGGAGAAGGGGAACAGAGAGAGAAGTGTGCA